GTGAAGTGCTGTAAAGTTTAGTTGATTCAAAACACACATTAAACACACATTAAACATGGCTTAATAGAGACAATGTCAAACACAAGTACACAAATCAGCTTCACTATAACTCACAGCATTCATAGACAAACACTTGTCTTTATCTGGACACATTTTCCCCACAAATACAACATGCTAACGTCATTAGCACAAGCCTATGGCATTTTACATTGTATAAATTAGCCTAGCAGCTAGCATTCTTTTCCTCTTCTCATATGAAGTCAGGGACAACAGTAACATTTAACAAAGGTAACTTTACAAAATTCGGCTCCATTACAACTCACAAGGTTCACTGACAAAACAACTGTCTTATACTAAACACGTTTTCCAAACAAATATAACATGCTAACGTTATTAGCACAAGCCTATGGCATTTTACATATAAATATGTATAAATTAGCCTAGCAGCGAACAATCATTCCTCTGCTCATATGAAGCCAGGATAAATCACACACAAGACTTATAATACTATTTTTGTGGAGGCTTTATTGTCTTCACAATTTATTGTTTCTTATTTGTGAAATTAAAGTAAATAAAAGCTTTGTTTCCACTGAGGGAAATGGTTTCAGTTTACAGAAATATTACATAGATTAGCCTAGCGGCTAGCGGACTTCTTCCTCTACTCATACCTTAACTAATTACATCTAATGTCATTATTTTTCTTTCTCACCGGTGGTTTAAGTCATTGCATCTCCCGACAGCACAGCTCGGTTTAAATTCAGCCTGCGTGCACATTTTTTTGGTTTAGCTGTGAGGAACGTGCAGCCCAGTGTTAAAAAATTTGTTACAGGCGATCATGACCTCTGCATCGAGATATAATCTTTCAAGACAAAATCATTAGCTGTAAGAATTGATTTTTTTCTCTCTATCCCTAATGCAGCGTGTCTCATATTAGTTCCTGTGCAAGCTTTGTTTCTCATGTTCAGCAATGCATGGACATATATGTGTGTGTGTGTGTATTGCTGCCTGTGTGCAAATCTGACTATTGCATAAGAGGATCTGCTACTGTCCCAGAGCTTAGCGAAGGATTTAAACCTCTCTTTCTCACTCTCTCCTGCACTCTCTCTTCCTGTGTCGTCCGTCTCTCTAGCGCTCTCTGTTGCACTCTCTCTAATCTACTTGTCTTTTGAAAGGGGGGGGGGGTTGATGTCATTATTTGTTGAATAAGTCTTATGCTGATTATATGTTTGCTTATTTAGCCATGTTTGAGCAGGACAGTTTCTGTCTGTTCTGAATAAATGAGCCTCCATTTTGATTGCACCTGCTCAAACACAGAGAACTCATTTTGACTCATAATTCAAGATGTTTGCTCTTCAATATCTTTTAATTCAAAACCTTAATGATTGATAAGATAAAGTAAGAAATATGGTGATTTCATCAGCTTCCATTCATTTCTGTTGTAACTGTAATTGTTGTAATTTATGCCGTGTCTATAGAGGATTAATGGATTATAACACTGGTGCTTCCCCTTCAGTTACCCTCCAGCAACTAGTCTGCGTTTTGGCAACTCTTAACATCCCCGTGAGGAACACAAGAAATCAATTCTTACCATTTTACAGTCTGTTGACAGAGAGAGAAAGGACTGGGCTCACTGGTGATCTAAAAATAAGGAGTTTGGATGAGACTCCACAAGCATTACTTGTCCAACATGCAATGCTGCAAATGTGTTGGCTGCAAACTCTTCACAGCACAAGAACATTTTGTTAAGAAAGCTGATTTGACTCGTGCCTCGCATGCCAGAACAATATTTCTTAATGTATTCAGTAAATTTTAAGTCTTCAGTCTTTTTTATTGCTGCTGTGGTAAATAGTAGGGCTAGTTATTTACAGACTGACTGGCGATACATGATATACATGTTGGTATTTTCTATGAAATGGGCGACATGTTTTCGGTTGCAAGTCAAAGCCACATTTGAGACGTCACAAACACTTTCATAAAAACAGACTGTGATCAAAATAAAATACACGTACGTTAATGTTTCTGCACACAGCACTGGAGCTATAGAGGTTTAAAGGTTTGCTGCACAGGACACAAAACTATAACATGACAATAAAAATGTAAAGTCGGCCTAAATCCATTGTAGTTTGGAAGAATTAAAAGTCTTTGTGGGGGGAGTTAAATAGCTTTCCGTGGCCTTTCAAATTAATCTAGTGCTGGAAAATGATTTAAATCTCATTTATTCACAGAGCATCAACAGAGGCCGAGGGAGGGAGGGAGCCAGACACTTTGTTCATGTTATATATGTCTTGTATACGAAACATCTGTGTTGTTGTCACATAATAGACTACAACTACCAAGAAGAACGGCAACCCGCTATGATCCACCTCACACACACACTAACAGTGCAGTGCGATCATTTCATCTCACAGACTGATTTAGCACGTGCAACATCTAGACCGATGTCGCACTGTAGACTAATTAACAGGCAGATTAAACAGAGGAGCAGCGCTGTGTCTCTCTGAGTGTTGATGGAGAACTTGTGAGTGAGTGAGTGAGTGGGGAGGAGCTGTGAGGAGAGTGTGAAAGAGGAGAGATGCACACTGGTATGCATCATGTAACACAACTTGACGATCGATGAAACGATGTTGTCTAAATTTATATCTTACTTGAAAATATACCGATATATTGTACATAGTCGTTTAGAGTTAATAATAACATTATTTCCAGTAGGATAATGTGCAGAAAGTTAATGTTTTACCTTATTAATCTCTGCATGAAAATGATCCTCTCCTGCACACACACACACAAGGACTCAGGACAAATGGACGCGTCAACTCACCTGTTAAATTATTGTAACACACCAAACAGGTGGATGAATATTGTTCATGTAAACTGTGGCGCTATGAGTTAGGGCTGCAACGATTAGTCGACTAATCTATGACTAATCGACTATTAAAATAATCGGTGACTATTTTAGTAGTCCACTAATCTGTTTGAGTCATTTTTCATAGAAAAGTACTATAAAAGTACCCTAAAATACTCTTATTGCAGCTTCTAATGTTCAAATATTGGCAGCTTTACTCAATCTCCCATGACGGTGAACTAAAACCCTTTGGCGTGAGTATGAAACAAGACATTAGATGACATAATTTTGGGGTGTAACACATTTTTTAGTAAAATGATTAGTCGACTAATCGAAGAAATAATCCACAGATTAGTCGACAGTGAAAATAATTGTTAGTTGTAGCCCTAATATGAGTTTATTGACTCAATCATATTCCACATTTGTAACTTGACATCTGGAAGTTTTAAAAGTTCTTTCATTATTTAACAGTAAAGATTAACAGTAGAGATACTACTGTAATAATAAACTTTTAAGCCAACATAATCAAACTCACTGAAGACAAATACTCTCTTCTCTCCACCCTCCACTCCCCACGAATAGGCCATTGAAGTGACACTCCCACACCGCCGCACAACCCTGGGTCTGTTTGCCGCAGTGCCTGATTTATTGTGGAAATTGATGGATTACTGAACGGACCTACTGGTCACATTCCCAGGGGCCTAATGTGTCAAGGGCCTCACCTGTGCAATGTCACTCAAATCATAAAACAACAAAAAATGCTTAACAACTTCAAAGAGACATAAAATCACCACAGGGTCTGTGCGTCTTGCTCCTGTGTAGGAGAGATGGGGGCCTTAGCATCCTTAGCATATCTGTGGCTAGGGGCCCATTGTCTCACAATCCACTCATGGGTGTAAATGCAGCCAGAAAAAGATGAGCCCAGCAAGTTGAACAGTCCCCTAACTTGTACCTTAATTCTCCATCTAAAAGCTCCACTTACCTAACTTACAAATTGAGATCACATCACAAGGGCAGATTCGAGGCAACGAGAATGCTTATAAATAACTGCAAATCTTTGTCCAGATAACAATTCAGAAAGAGATGTCATGTCAATAAAAGTAAATGGGGTCTGCAGCGATGATGATGAAGATAGAAATTAGAATAGTGATAAAGATGGTGATACTGATAATGATGTGACTAGTGGGGAGTAGGGGTGTGCCATATCATCTCATTCACGATAATGCTGGTATAATAACATAATGAAAAACGGCAACAACAAGCATGGCTGAAAGCGAAATAATTAGCGACACCGCGGGGGTTCCAAAAAGAGGAGCAGCTTCAGTAGTGTGGAATAAACCGTGGCGTCCTGAATGTTTTATGAACAGCCCCGGACTTCTCAGACTCTTTTAGTGACTTACTGCTCAGAGGGAACTCATTCAGCGGCTCCTCTGGCAGCAGCACAGTGTCTCCTGCGCACACGGGAGTCGGTGTTGTCAAGTGATTGTGTCATAAACCTTTAAAACTCCATATATGTGAATGGTGATAGTTGTGGTATCATAACAGCCTGTCACAGGTTACAGCGTGATGATTAGAGGAGAAATGGCAGAGCATAAAGGTCCAGGTGGAAAAAAACAACTCAATCATTTAGGATTTTACTAAAAGAAGAAAATCACCTGTTGATTTATATATATATAGATCCCAGGGGACATTTTTTGTACTTGGGAGCTGTTTAAATGTGTAATTTGTGGTAGATTTTATTTAGTTGAAGTATTAATATTGTATACAGAATCTGAATCTCACTCTGAGTTACTGCTGTTGTTCACAAACTAAAGAAATGAGAGATAATTTTGTTTTTACAGAATATCACTTATTTTTTTTGCCATTCTATTTTCTTTAATTAATAATACATTTATTTTTTATTTTTTTCCAAATAATTTGTCATATCATCAAAAGTATTATTATCTCAAAAATACTCTGAAACATCATGATATTATTTTGGGGCTATGTTACCCACCCCTAGTGGGGAGGAGTATTGGTAGTGGAGATAATGACCTCTTCCATGTGCACTGATCTGTTTGTTTGTGCTGGAGGAAAGCCCCCCTGCTGCACTCACTGTTCAGCTGTGTTATTTCTCACTGGTTCACTTTCTGTTTCTCTCTCTCTTTGTCTGTTGCAGATTGACCTGGAGCCAGAGGGGAAGGTGTACGTGGTCATCGATCTGTCCGGATCCTCCACTGAAGGTAAAACCACAACAACACACTATTTTACTAGTGAAAACAAAGGAATCACACATTAAAACACTTGTAGACACGGTGGCATGTGCTGAAACACAGTGAGAAAACATGCAGGATTTATACTTCTGCGTCAAATCAATGCCATACCTAAGGCATAAGCTCTGCATCGACTTAGAGCCTAGGGTAAAATGAAGCAGAGCTGGAAGGCGAAGCTTTCGATTTACTGGTCCATCTACGTCCCAACCCTCACCTATGGTCATGAGCTCTGGGTAGTGACGGAAAGAATGAGATCGCAGATACAAGTGGCCGAAATGAGTTTCCTCCGTGGGGTGTCTGGGCTCAGCCTTAGAGATGGGATGAGGAGTTCAGACATTTGGAGGGAACTCGGAGTAGAGCTGCTGCTCCTTTGCATCAAAAGGGGTCAGTTGAGGTGGTTCGGGCATCTGATCAGGATGCCTCCTGTTAGGGGTGTTTTAGGCACGTCCCACTGGTAGGAGGCCCCGGGGCAGACCCAGAACACGCTGGAGGGATTACATATCTCACCTGGCTTGGGAACGCCTTGGGGTCCCCCAGGAGGAGCTGGAAAGTGTTGCTGTGGGGTGCTTTACTTAGCCCACTGCCCCTGAGACCCGGCCCCAGATATGCAGATGAAAATGGATGGATGGATGTTTTGGTTTATTCCTATCACTCTCTTAGCCTTGTTCTGGCTGCAGCAAGCAGCTGTTTTTTTAAAAAAAGAAGAAAAAATACTCACTGCACACTGCTTGCTCAGCAATAAACAGCAGACAGACAAAGTTTGATACTAACTGGTGAACATAGTGGAGCATTTAGCAGCTAAACAGACAGATAGGAGCATAGAGGGATTACTGAACAGGCCTAACCTGGGGCCTCCCTGGCCTTCAGCAGCAAAATGTCACTTGAATTAACATGTACTGAACAAGTACTACAAAATGATCACAAATAGACACAAAACAACTACAAAATAAACAAAGCAACAACAAAGAGATACAAAACGACGTAAAAAAAAAAAAAAAAGACACACACAAAGTGATCTCAAGGAGACCCAAAATGACCACAGAAAGATACAAAAAAGTACCAAACTACAAAATAAAGCAACAGCAAAGAGATACAGAACGACCTAAAAGAAAGACTAAAAGTGACCTCAACAAAACCCAAAATGACTACTAAATAAACAAGGAGACACAAAAAGACCACAAAAAGACACAAAGTGACCTCAAGGAGACCCAAAATGACCACATATAGACCCAAAAAGACCTCAAATAGACACAAAAGACCACAAAAACACACAAACTGACTACAAAATAAACAAAGAGACACCAAATGACCTAAAAAAGACAACAAGTGACATCAAGGAGACCCAAAATGACCACAAATAGACACAAAAAGACCACAAAAAGACACAAAATAACTACAAAATAAACAAAGCAATAACGAAGAGACACAAAACGACCTAAAAAAAACCCACAAAGTGACCTCAAGGAGACCCAAAATGACTACAAAATAAACAGAGACACTAAATGACCACAAATAGACACAAAAAGACCTCAAATAGACCCAAAATGACTACAAAATAAACAAAGACACTAAATGACCAAAAAATGACACAAAGTGACCTCAAGGAGACACAAAATGACCACAAATAGACACAAAACGACCACAAATAGACACAAAATAACTACAAAATAAACAAAGCAATAACGAAGAGAAACAAAACAACCTAAAAACCCCCACAAAGTGACCAAGGAGACACCAAATGACCACAAATAGACCCTAAATAACTACAAAACAAATAAAGCAACAACAAAGAGACACAAAACGGCCTCAAGGAGACCCAAAATGACTACAGAATAAACAAAGCAACATGGAAGAGACACAAAATGACCAAAAAATGACACAAAGTGACCTCAAGGAGACCCAATGTGACCACAAATAGACACAAAATGATCACAAATAGACACAAAATAACTACAAAACAAATAAAGCAACAGCAAAGAGACTCAAAACAACCTAAAAAAGACACAAAGAGTTGTAGAGCAACAACAAAAAAAGCAAATAGCAATAGCCAGGGGCCCATTGGCTCATAATACGCCAATGCTCTGTAGTTGGTAGAGACCAAAAACAGAGCTAAAAGAGATTGATTACTGGACACAAACACGGCCCTCAATGAATGGTAATGTTGCTGTGTAACTGCAGGATGTGTAAATAGGCTACTGTTTGCCAACATCTTCACCAGATCAACTTAAATGCTGATGATATGTCAGTGTTGTGTTCACAGCTGTTTCTGTGTGCTGCCCCCAAGTGGAGAAAACTCCAGTTATTGCAGGTTTAACATAACGTACTGTACACACATGCCCTGCTATCACTGCAGTGAAGCCTGAGGCCATAGAGTGCGATGGAAAGATTACTTCCTGTTTTCCTAGAAAGTCACTTAACAGAATTCATAGAGCGTTTTCCTCGCTCTTCTCCTCCTCTGGTTTCTTTCTCTTGTATTTGTTTGTTTCCATTAAACACGGAATCATCCAGAATATCCCTCTCAACTAGCCTTTTCCACACACATCCACTGACTCACTCACATGCTGCCCCATAAGAGAGGTTTTCACCTGCACCTGTGTATCTTCACACCTGGATATAAATAGAAACTGCTCTCTGCCTTCCAGTGAAAGTGTGCATGTATATATATGTATATACTGTGCGTGTGTGTGTGTGTGTGTGTGTGGGTGAGTGCAACAGTACATCGCAGCAGTTTAGTTACTCTTGTGTAAAGACTGATAGAGAGAGCATATGAAGAGAGAGGGAGTAGATTCTTAAAATAGTAGGTGAGATTGAGCCACGGATTACACACACACATATGTAGACTCAGGCGTCAGTGTCTTGCCCTCCTCATCGATGATTGGACACTCTGTGGTGACCTCACGACCCACTCCCCACCCACTCCTGAACTTCCTCCCCAGAGTTCAGCTGGCATGAGTGCTCATGTTAATGTATGCTGATAAAAACAAATGGTGTGTGTGTGTGTGTGCTGATAGGAGGGATGGAGAGATGGAGGGTGAGAACCAGAGGAAGACGTGGTATTTTTAGCAGATTTCTTTTCTTTTTTTTTTTTTTCTCCCCTGCTGCAATCTGTTCTGTGCGGCTTCAGAGGCTGGAAGGAGTTGTTCCCTCTCTCCTCTTTTCCTCCTCTCCTCTCCTCATACATCTGTTGGTCTCAGGAAGCAAATAAAAACAATAATCTGACCTAATCTGACCATCTGCAGTCTCTCCCTCTGTTTCTTTATCCGTGTCTGTTCCCTTTAAATATTTTCTCCACGTTCCTCAAAGCTTAAAAAGTAACCTCTGTGATTGAGCACTTCATTTTATTATATTTCTTAAGAAAAAGCTTTTTGTTTTTCAATGCGGTATCTTCACTTATGTAATTTAATAACCTATAAGTACTGTATCTTTAGAAATCACATAGATTCACACCTGCCCTGTTTGGTTCGGTTCAGTCGAACTCAAGTTTGTTTGCCCACTAGGGCGGAATTCATACTTCTGCATTGAATCGACGTTGTACCTTCACCATAGGCTCTACATTGACACAGAGGCTATGCTGTAGCCTCATGTTCACCTCCCAGAAATGTAACTATGCGGTGCAGCGATGCAGACCTCCTGTCTATTTCTGTAAGCTGAAACCATTTCCCTCAGTGGAAACAAAGCTTTTATTTACTTTAATTTCACAGATAAGAAACAATAAATTGTGAAGACAATAAAGCCTCCACAAAATAGCACTTTATGTCTTGTGTGTGATTTATCCTGGCTTCATATGCGTAGAGGAAATCTCAGCTAGTCACTAGGCTAATTTATACAATGTAAAATGCAATAGGCTTGTGCTAATAACGTTAGCATGTTGTATTTGTTTGGAAAACGTGTTTAGTATAAGACAGTTGTTTTGTCAGTGAACCTTGTGAGTTGTAATGGAGCCGAATTTTGAAATGTTACCTTTGTTAAATGTTGCTGTTGTCCCTGGCTTCATATGAGTAGAGGAAAAGTTGGCTAGCTTCTAGGCTAATTTATACAATGTAAAATTCCATAGGCTTGTGCTACTAACATTAGCATGTTGTATTTGTGGGTAAAATGTGTCCAGAAAAAGACAAGTGTTTGTCTGAGAATGCTGCGAGTTATAGTGAAGCTGATTTGTGTACTTGTGTTTGAAATTGTCTCTATTAAGCCATGTTTAATGTGTGTTTAATGTGTGTTTTGAATCAACTAATCTTTACAGCACTTCACAGAAACCTCCACCGTTGACTAGTGTTTTGGAGGTGTAACTTAGTGACACAGACACACCACGGCACAAGTATAAATGCTCACAACTGCGTAGGCCATGTGTGTAGGCTACGGCGGAGAGTCTGCCGCACAAGTATAAATCCCCCTCAAGTGCGGTTTGTTTGGGCAGGTGTGAACAGAGCAATCACACTCAGGTGTGCACCAAAACAACTGGACGAAGACCTTCTTGAAGAGGTGGTCTCAGTCCGGTCACTAATGAACTCTGGTGCGGTTCGTTTGTGGTGAGAACGTGTTCCGACCTGGATCTGAACCAACTGCAGTCACATGACACATTGTTTGGGTTAAACATGAGCATATTACAGTCCTGGAGGATTATTAATGTGCACCTCCTCCTGTACTGCCTCAATATGCACATTCAGCACATCCAATGCATCAAAACATTGTTTTCTAGTTGGAGCCGCGCCTCGTTTTCAAACTGTATGGTTTGACTAAAATGAACAATGACAGCAATATAGTCCACGATGAGCAGCGCTAAAATCAACCTGCGTAGTTGTCCCTCCATTGTGACATTAGAAAGTGTCACATTTATCTTGCAAGTGTACTCTTCTTCAAAGTTTGCTTTACTTCCTGGATTTTTCCCACATGGAAATTCTGACCAATCAAGAGCAGCTTTCTCACACAAGGCATTTGATTTGGTCCGCTTGTAAATGCTGCCGTGAGAACAC